GGGCGCGCACCGATACGTACACAGGCGGAGGGAGAGGGCTGCAGTTCGGGAGTCCGTTCTCATCGAAGGCATTGAGGTCACACCTGCACCAGTCTTCGATAACATCGCCTTTCCCCGAGCACCAGTATGAGCTCATCAGGGCTCCCTTGAAAGCCTGACGTGAGAACAAAAAGTGTGAACACGTGTGCTAAAAACTCAGTGAAATCCAGCCAGCGGCTCAGCCGCGCGGTGCTGAGCATCGGAGGGGGGGTGCACAGAGACGGGGATTGGGAAATCGGGTGGGGGGGGTCCTCCCCAGCTCTGCCACCGACTCTCTGCATGGCCCCGGGCAGGTCCCTTCCCCTCCCTGCGCCTTAGCTCCCGCCCGTCGCGTGACGCTGGTTCATCCCCGGGCGCTGCTTTTGGTGTGGGGACGGGGAGCGTCGCGCGATGCCTCGTACAGAGGGATCTCCTGTGACGGAGGACCGAGCTGCCTGAAGAAACACAAACATAAGCCCATTTGTGACCCTGGAGATGACACGTAGGGTACCTTTACACTGCTGTTGCGCACAATGAAACTCTTCCACGTGCCCATCCCATCACTGTTTCTGTACCCACAAATAAAGAAATTCCTACACCCCCAACAACGCAGACCATTTCCACCCTTCTCATAGGTTTGTAATTCATACGAGCTGCCTTCCTGCTAGCCAACTGCCGCTTTATTCACTTGCATAAGGAACACTCACAAGCAAAACAGCAGTATCTGAAAGAAAAAAATAAAATCTTGTAAAACGCTTGCAGGGTGTTCCCCAGCCAGGCAGCCTGTGCTGCACAGGCTGTCCTCAGCGTGACCAGCACCCCTCCCGACCACTCCTAATAATGCCAACGGATTCCCAGAACAACAGCTGTCCATCTGCCGGGATCTGAAGCCGAAACACTTTGACCGAATTCCCGAAGCCCTCCAGGTCCAACCCCTCGGTGTCTTCCCTGCGCTCATCCCACAGCTCAGGGTGCTCAATGTCCATCCCCACGCCGCAGGAACGGGCACCTCTCGCTCCGTACCCTGCTGTGGTTCAGATTTTATGGATTTATGGTGATTTCTCCTGCGACCTTTGCCTGTCGTGCCTAATTAAACCTCCAGCTTGGAAGACAGCATCTCTCCCTGCACACACCCGGCCAGCGGTAACCCAGACTCTCTGGGAAGCCACAACACCCTGCTCGAATAATCATAACACCAAAACTTCATCCACTAAACCAAACCTCTATATAATGCTTTTGACCTTTTAAAAGACACGTTTCGGGGCCGAAACGCCTTCACGGGTCCTCATCCACGTAGAGCAGCCTCGCTGCCAGCCCCCGCGCAGCCCAGCTCGCAGCGGCACGATTCCGCCCATTCAAAGCCGCCTGCGGATGCCTGGTCCCGGCGATACCGCCCGCACCGTCAGGTTACGCCTTAAAGATAAAAATGTGCCCTTTGAGGAGGACAGGGACGGCTCCAGCGGCTGTGGCATTTAGCAGAAAACTAGGAAAATCGCCATCCCAGGGAGGTTTATGAAAAGAGGAGGTATAAATAGAGCCTGACGTCAGGGCTCCCATTGTCCGGGGTTTTGTTGCTCTCCCCAAACACCTCGAGCACCTTTAACGAGGCGCCTTGAGGTTCTCGCGTCTGAAACGTTTTCTGCTTCCAGGCATTTACAAAACGGGACTGTTCCAGAAAAAGAAAAAAAAAAAAAAAAAGGAAAAAAAGGAAGGAAAAAACATGTGAAAGAGAGAAAATGTGACGTTATTTTATTTTGTTCTTTAGAAGGTAATTGAAGCACTGGGCTGGAAAGGGCATTGCAAAGTAATTGGAGAGCAGGGAAGACAGAGAGGAGTTTATCTGACACATGGATAAATGGGTGCAGATACACTTCTGTAGAGAGCCGCGGGTCGGTGCAGGACAGAAACAGAAAGCGATGCACGTAGATGGATGGGGGAGCGTGTGCTCTCCCTAGGAAGCAGGATAAATACATACGTTGTGGGTACGTGGGTGCACAGACATGCACTGTGCTTGAAGACAGATGTTGGGTGATCCCTGGAAGAGCCGCACCGTCACACCGATGGCACCACTCTGCCGTCACCCTGTCCCCGGCCCCGCCGCTCTGCAGGCTCCCTGCCTGGCCCCTGACCCAGGGAAGAAATCCCACCCGCCCCATCCGTGCCCTTTAGCCAAACCCGATGGACAATTCCCTCCTCCTATTTTCTTTTTTCCGATGGTAAGTGCAAGGCTGGATGAGCAATCCCCTCTGCTTTGCCTGCTCAGCCTTGCGCACATTTTAATTAGATTCTGCAGGTACCCAGCCGTCATCTGCCTTGTGTCAACCTTCACACAAACGAGGTTAGCTAATCGATGCGTCCTTCAATTGCACTCATTAAGGCGAGCGCACCTACGCGCGCTAACCAGGTTACTCGGAGCACGGCTAGCCCCCGGTGCCTGCCTCCGGCCGTTTTCCAGCAGCCGGCTGACGTCAGGATGGGCTGGGGCGGCCGGGCAGCCAGGACTTGCCTTTCCTCGCTTTCCAGAGGGATTTCTAGCCAGCGGCTTCCAGGACTTTCCTGCCGGCGCCGGGAGCACATCTCGAAGAGTCAAGAGCGAACCGACGGGGGGTAAACGGGTAAGGTCGTGCAGAAAGAAGGGATGAAGCTCCCCGCATGAGGATGTTCACCCTTGCTTTAGGGTACACTCTCCGCAGGGACACCAGCCTGCTCCCTGGGGACACTTGCTCCATAGAAACTCCAGGACAAACAGATGGTCTCCGTGAGCTTCGAGGACTCTGTGGTCCTCCCAGCGCTGAAGCCAGGTGCAGCTTTGGCTGAAGTTCACACACAGCCCACCCTTCCTTCCTTCCTTCACCTCCCCCAGCCTGGACCAGGCCCCAGCAGAGATCCGCAGTCGAAGCCGCCTTCCCTTGCAACAGCAATGGCTTTAACCAGCCCAGCCCCAAAGGCACGCTGCAGGCACCTGCTCCTCCGCAGGTGGCAACCACATGAGAAGGTCTCCTTTCCTCCCTCCTTCTGACAGCAGAGCTCGGGAGGTACGGGACTGCTCACACAAACGCAGGCGAATGGCAGCTGCCACCTAAACCAGGAGCCCAAGGGCACAGGAGGACCAAGAGCAATGGCCAAAGGACACAGTGAAGGTGCTGAGACCCGTCCCATGAGCAGCTGCAGCCTTTGGGAGAGCTGCAGATGGGAACGCTCAGGGACCTTCCTGGTCTGCGGTGGCCAAGGACAACCTTCCCCTCCTGCCTTGGAGTGGGCGCCTCCACATCTCCTGTCCTTCCCTGCTGCCACGCTCGGCAACACGCAGCAAACGTTCTCCTCCCTGCCAGGAGACAGCACATACAACAAGACAAGACCACCATCTCCAACACGACCATCTCTGCATCAGACGCCTCGCCGCGGTGGTCACACCAAGCTACCGACCTGGGAAAAGCCAACGGGCTCTGGAAGCGTGAAGGGCTTCCCAGGAACAGCCCTGCCTGGTGGGGGTGGCAGAGCAGCCCCCAATGTGCCATCCTGTGCTCGCCAACCACTCCCCGGGATCTCAACGCCCCTCGGTGCCCTAAGGCAATTTTATCTTTCATTTAAAAGTATCCAAATTGTATTGTTTCCCTGTGAGTCAGCCCATTTAGTTTATGTCCTTCAGTGCCAGAGGGGAAATTTATGAGATGAGAAACTGGCTCGAAACATTTATTTTCTAGATGACGAGTCATGCCATTAGATATATAGCATTATGAATCATAGGAACAGCATCTAATTTGCTCTTAAAGGTATAATAGGTCCGACTCCCCACACCCATACACACACATATATTGGATTGATAGTTCCCCCATAGGATGGCTAGTTCATTTGTTTTGACACGAGCAAGACTTACAGGACCATAAAGTCCCATCTTACCATAAGTTAAGCCTATTCATAAAAAAAATATTAGGGAAACAAATGATCAGCTAAGCACATTTATCCTACACTCGATTGCATATGGATCTTTCTCCTGTTGTTATTTGTGCTCAGGGGGAGGCCATTTGGCCCCGTTTTATAGCTTAGACGCTCTGCAACAGAACATAGAAGAACATTTCCTTTGTCCTCTGTTAGACCTGGCTGATGGAGGGAGAAGCATTAAGTTATTTCTGACCGTGGGTTTTCTGTTGATATCCCCGGAGAGGTAAATTATAGGACGTGAAGGAACCTTTCGGATCAGCATTTGCAGGACTCAGCACACACACGGGGGCTGGTGTTTCCAGATGGGGTACTGGAAAGGGCATGTGTTGGGTGCTTATCCGTGAACATCTGGTCTTCTCCACAGCTGACAGGGATATGAAAATCTGGCTCAATTGTTTCTTTGAGTCTGGGTTACTTTGTGGTTGGTATGCACACCTCGGTTTCTGGAAAAATTAAAATGGAAATATAGGGAAATGAAAAACTGACCACGAATGAGCATGCAGGCTGGACATAGATAAGCTGGAGACATCAGAGAAGACCTAGAGCTGGTAATTTGGTACATTTTGGGTTTTGCATATGTTTCCCTAGTCTTTGTTTGCTTGTTTGTTTTTCTTGTAAAGGTAGAAGGAAGGGAAGAGGGGTGGAAGCAGGCTGGGTCATGCCAGCCGTCAGGCTCAGCCTCACGTCCAGGGACACAGCAGCCAACGGAGACGCTCTGTCCCTTCCTGCCTGCAGGATGGAGCTGGTGCCCGCAACACCACCGCCACCCTCCCCTGAGCGCAGGCAGGTACCACTGGAGGCAGCGGAGGGACGTCTGGCAAGGTGCAGCCCTGTCCCACCTACCAGCAGGTCCAGTCACCCAGCGATGCCACCCCATGCAGTGCCTGACACAACCCAGCCACTGACCGGAGCTCCCGGACACCGCCGTGCTCCAAGCGGTCTGTAGACGGCAACAGCAATACTGACTTTTCATCAGTGGAAGGAAGACTACGGGATGCAGGCTCGAGCAGGGATTTTACAGCCTGAATGGGATGCTACCGTGACGATAGAGTGGCTGGAGGAAAAGCTTCCCATGCCCTTACAGTAATGCTCAGTGCTGTTCACAGGAGATAAATGCTGCTCCTTAGTCTAGACATCTCTGGAAGGAGGGGAAAAAAGAAAAAAAAGAAGAAAAAAAAAAAAGGAGGAGGAAAACTAAGAATTTCCCAGGCCAGAGACTCTTTCCAGGATCACGCAGTTCGCGTCTGAAAGTCTGCTCCAGGTTCACAGCAAAGGAGGATGAAGTTCCCTACTGCTGTTGGCAGGTGATCTCATCTTGGGCTGCTCACACCCTCCCTGCCTCCGGCTGCCTGTCCCCGGGGAGCAGGATCACCAGCACTTCATCCTGGGAAGGCACATCAGCGGTTTGCCGGAAAGGTCAGGGTGCTGGAAGGGACCCAGGGTGGGCAGCATCCTGGTTTCTGTTATTTATGGGATCCGAGGGAGCAGCAGAGGACACTGTAAAACCTGGCAGCAGGGGAAATAAAAGCCTTTGTGCTGCAGCGAGAGTCCCGTCCCGGGGAGCCAGCTCTGCTTTCACACCTCGGCTACAAAGCTCCCCATTATAGCAGGATCGGGGCGGTTACAATGCGGCTATTCTTCCCCTGGTAACGCGAGTCGGATGTGGGCTGGAGCTGCAGCAGGATGCTCCAGCGTGCGAGGAGCAGGACAAGGGCCAATTAGCAGATATTAAAACAAAGCAAAACCAAATAAAAAACCCCACACCCCAGACCAAAACAAAACAAACCCCCCCCCCACCTCACCTCAATAATACAAACGCTGTCCCCATTCGCCCTGGCTCCCTTTCGGCTCTGGCAGTGCAAAAAGAAATCCCTGGCACCGGCTCTCCACGCCTTCAGGGGCTGCTTCGGGGAAGCTGCGTGAGTGCAGGGAGGATTGCCGTCCTCCAGCAGCTCTGCCATCGGCTGCTGCAGGGGGGCCAACGTGAGCCCACGGCCCCGGGGACGCCTCTCGCACTGTCCCCACAGCAGCCCGCAAAACCTCC